ATAGGTAATCCGTTTGATGAGGTGCTTGTTTTTTATTTTTATTCTGTTGAAAGAATGGGTAATTTTCACTATGATCCTGTGGAGGATGTGGATTAGCTTGAAAATTTACTGAATTGGTTGTTGCCATTGGATTATTCCAATATCGAGATCTGATTTGATTATTATTATTATTATTTCGTGGAGGATAGTTTGTTTTTGATGAGTGTGTATAATTATAATTATGTTCCGCAGAATTGTTTCTTGTGAACGTTCTGCGTGTTTTTGACGGTATTGTCATGGGTCTATATGTTTGGTAATCCATTTGTGAATATTTTGGAGCAACCGAAGGTTTAACGGTTGATTGTAAGGTTACCTGTGCTAGTGAAGTGTGTGTATTTTTTGGTGTTGTTAAATTTGGACGTATCGGTGAAATACTTTGTTGTGTAGTTGTTGTTTGGACAATTTCTTCGTTTATGAAGTGCGATGGTGTCTGAATATCTTGTTGAGTGAGATTCCTAGTTCCATTGAGGTTTTCATTCAGTCTGTTCCTGTGAATACCATTAATGGTTTGTTTGATGTTATTGATGATCCACCCATAAGGTATGGATTCATTGTCATTTGTAATGATTCTGCTGCATTTGGCAGTTGTGAAAAATTTGAAAGTTGATTTTTTGTTATTTCGTGTTGTTGAAGATAATATGGAAGTGGTATTTCATTTTGCATTTGTGTTGGTTGAAAAGACTGTGTATTAATTGGGTTTTGCATTTGTATTGGTTGTTGATTTTGTGTATCTATCTGGTGTGGAGAAAAAATTCTATGATATGTATATGGTTTCTGTACTCCTTGTCCGCGATGTTCTTGGGTATATGGTGCAAATATATCTGGTTGTAAATAATCATCATCAGAGGATAGGTAATCCGTTTGATGAGGTGCTTGTTTTTTATTTTTATTCTGTTGAAAGAATGGGTAATTTTCACTATGATCCTGTGGAGGATGTGGATTAGCTTGAAAATTTACTGAATTGGTTGTTGCCATTGGATTATTCCAATATCGAGATCTGATTTGATTATTATTATTATTTCGTGGAGGATAGTTTGTTTTTGATGAGTGTGTATAATTATAATTATGTTCCGCAGAATTGTTTCTTGTGAACGTTCTGCGTGTTTTTGACGGTATTGTCATGGGTCTATATGTTTGGTAATCCATTTGTGAATATTTTGGAGCAACCGAAGGTTTAACGGTTGGTTGTAAGGTTACCTGTGCTAGTGAAGTGTGTGTATTTTTTGGTGTTGTTAAATTTGGACGTATCGGTGAAATACTTTGTTGTGTAGTTGTTGTTTGGACAATTTCTTCGTTTATGAAGTGCGATGGTGTCTGAATATCTTGTTGAGTGAGATTCTTAGTTCCATTGAGGTTTTCATTGTGTATGACGGTCGAGTTTAAACTGTTATTTCGAGTATCAGGTAAAAATGTATTGTAGTTTAATGGTGTTGCGTCAATGGTTAATGGTACTACTCTTACATAATCTCTTGTATAAGATATTGTACTTATTGCTTGACTTGAAATTGATTGTGGAAAATTTATGAATGCATAATGAGACCATTCGGGGTCCCAAATGTAGTCTGACTGTTCTGTGATGGCGGTATCATCGTTTGAATTTTGAGATCTAAAATTTTTTCTTGCTTGTGAAATTAAATCTATATTATGTGTGAAATAATCTATTATAAACCATGCCAAAATTTTTTGTAAGTCATGTTTTGTATGTTGTGAAACTTCATCTTTAGTGAAATTTTCTTTAATTATATTTAGGAAAGATGAGAATAGTGTGATTTCATGTCGTACCCTTATATGTTTGGATGTCTCTGTCGGTGAGACATTTGGGATTGGGATTTCGTTTTCTAATATTGAGATATAACTATATATTATTGCAAAAACTTGATTAGTAAATATGGAGTTTGCTCTTTGTGAGTTATGATATTGTATGCTTTTTATATATTCTGAGAATACTTTTGAAAATTCTAAATCAAGGTCGTCTGTTTGAATTACATATTTGCGGTGATTCGGGTTTGGTGAGGTTAATTCTATGGTGTAGATTCCGTAGTGTTGTGTCAAATTACATATATCTTTCAGATAGTGATCAATAATTTGTCTTTTGATTTTTACATCTGGGAACTCTGTTTTACATGGGCTGATTCCGGGTTCAAAAGAATTTAGGAGTAAATTCTTGCAAAATATATGCTGTCCTCTATCATTGGTTGCATCTACGAGGAAGGGGAAGATATTTCATCATCTGGACTATCTTCACTTGGAGTGTGTGTTTGGCTCATTTTTTCGTTTAATGACTGTTAATAGGTAATTATCGATGTGTCTAATTGGTTGATTCCAGTTATATAAGTATACTGGTTTGTGTTTATATTGCTTTTTTATTCGTCTTTTTCCTCTTTTTGATGAATTTGAAGTTGTTTCTGAGTCGGAAAAATATAGTTGATCGTGAATGGGACAACTTTTATCAATTGATTCTTTTAATTTATAAAGTTCGTCTAAATTGCTGGCTTCTGATTCTGAAAATGCGTTTCTGTTTTTGGAAAATCTTTTTCGTGTGATTTGTCTTTGTTTGTTTATTATTTTTCTTTTTAGTGTTTGTCGTTTTGTTCTAATATATCCAACTGTTTGTGTATGAGGTGTGATTACAAGATCGTATTTTTTGTTATCTATTTCACAGTTGTGTAATACGATTGTTTGTTTGTTTCCTAGATTTTTAAATGACATAAGGCTTAGGATGACGGATGCAGAAAGTTGTTAGATGATTTCTATTTTCTTAACCTGTTAGTCCTTACGATTTTTTGGTTAGCTTAACCTGGGTCTATTTTTTCAGGGTTGGAGAGAAAAGTATATCGATTCCGAAGAATGATTTTTTACTTTCTCGTGGCTAGTATAAGCTAAGGTGTTAACTTACTTAATCTTACTTAGGGGTAGTGATTGTGTTCAAGGGTTGGAGAATAGTAAATCGATCCACAAGGTTCAGGTATAATTAGAACGCGAGTAGTTCGTTAGATACTATTTTAAACTTACTAAGTCTAAGATTTATCCTGGGTCTTGATAAGAGGAGGGTTCAAGTGAAGGATGAATAACCGAAGTTCTTCACTGTTTATCCTAATTTGAATGGTTAGTTTTGTTGAAAAATTTCTATTAGTCTTGGGTTTTTAGAAAGGGTTGGATAGTGAATCGACGTTTGAGGTCGTTAGACACTAGCTAAGTGGGTGGGGGAGAACAAAATTGTTCTTTTTGATCCAAGGATAGGCCTTGATGATCAAGTTTTAAAATTTAATTAAATAGAAAATGAATTAAGATCCAAGGATAAGCCTTGATGATCTGATTTTAAAATTAAGTGAATTTAAGTTTAAAATGGTTTAAATTTGTTTAAGAAAAAGATTTAGTGTTTTAATGATATTAGTGAGCTTATGATTGCTGTTATGTTTTAGGTGATGAAGCTGGGACAATTGGATGATTTTATGATTACTAACAGTTTATTGTCATGCTACTAATTTTTGTTTTGATTTTCAATAAGTATTTTCCAAACATGTTTTATATAATACTGCAGAATTTTAAGAAAACGATCTGAGATCTTTTTATCAATCGTTATTGTATATTAATAGTTTTGTTTTAGCGCCTGAAATGATTATGAAGATTGACTTCAAAATTTTATGTTTGCAAATGAAAATCTAAATTCATTGCTAATAAAATTCTAAATATAAAAGTTTGTGTTGGCTTTTGCCGTACTATCATATAACTATTTGGTAAGTTTCTATTTTGTCGTATGTCGTCTCTGGTTCGAGGTCTTCTTGCAATTCCGGGTAGTTCTGTTATCGTTCGGAATATTGGCTCTGATCTATTGAGTCGTAGAGACATTTCGATTAAATTATCGTCGTATAACATTTTTTAAATGTTTTGTCTAAATTCTAATCTATTTTTGGTTAATTCTAGGCTATTAAGGTCTTGTTCGAGACTTATGGTCGCACCAGATGAGTTATGACCGAGGTGGTTAACTCATAGAGTAATTTCGGATAGGGTACACCGTCTGCTCGTCACGCTATCTTATTTTCGGCCGGATAGATTCGTGCAACTTCTTAGTCTAATACCGATCCTAATCTTACTCTTATACTATCTAGTCTCAGGTTGTTTAACTAGTCTCTGCTAGGCTCAATAGATCTAGGATATACTGGTTTATTGCGGCTGCTGAAGTTCTCTTGGAGAGGCAACTAATTTCTAAGTTAAATTCAAATCTCTCTGGTGCTGAAATTACAAGTAATTTCAGCACTTACAAATAAGTGGGTTGTTAGTTAGATGGATCATGATTGGTTAATATTAAATACTTTACAGTGGTAAAATATCTAATTTATCCAATCATAAAATGTAGTTTAGATCAGGTTCCAGTTGAATTTAAAACAGAAAACCGGTCTGAAGGTCTCGTCAGATTATCACGGATAAGTTAAATTAACGGAAGGAGGGAGGGCGGGATGGTGGGCGCGAAGAGGAGTGGGTGAAGTAGATGGTGTTAACTTGATACAAGAAATCATTTATCTTTAATATAAATCTGTCTGTTCCATTTTTTCCCCAGCACTTTATACACTCTGAATTATAACATAAGCCGTTTTTCGGCCCGATGATACTTAAACTCTTTTGTGAACTAATTAATACTCAAGATATTATGGGGTCCAATTAGTTATTTTTTAGATCTTAAAGACGTGAATCACATAAATTTTTTATCCTAAGCGCCGTCCTTTTTATTCTAAAAAACCAGGGGTGGGGGTTTGAACTTTAGCGAGTGAATTTAGCGAAGAGCATCAATGTCAGCTGAGAGAGGAGTGGTTAACGGTTGCTAATTGTAGTAGTAATGACTGAACTTTATCATCTGCATTTCAACGTTTTCCTTTCTGCGTTTGGCTTTGCAACCCCTCCTATATTTGTTCTATCTGAAACTCTGAGTGTTTTTAGATAGGATGCTTTTCTGTTTGCAACAGGTGCAGTGCCTGAAAAGGACATGGCCAAGTATCTGGACCAGCCGTTCTACTCTGTGTTGATTGACACCCGAGACAGGGCTCCCCAGACCACATATGTACCCAGTGCCAATATCGAACTGCTGCCTCACAATAGAGTGGGTTTTATTAAATTTTTTGAGGAAGTTGGTTTCCTTTGAAATAGATTTTCATAGAAGTTCACGCTTATGAAACGAAAAAATTATATACAATCGAGGATGGAAAAAGAGGCAAATTTATACATTTTATGGCAATAACTCAGTTTCAGATCGCCTAATTTTCCAGATTTTGTCTTTGTTAAGTAGTTTCATTCTTATGACCAAATTGTGAGCAAATTTTTGAGTAAAACTCGAAATTCAGTTCAAAATGAGATAAAGAGACATTAAAACTTTAGTGTTTTTCTTTACGCTGTATGAGGATGACTAATTGATTTTTAGATCATTCACCCTTCACTAGACGACTATTTTGAGAACTTTGACGGTCACTCCCAATACATCATGCGGCCATGGCTCAAACGCATCTACCCCCATGACGGACCATAATTACCATGTATGGTCACCTTAATCTCGTCCATACGGCAATCAAGCAATCCATGTCGTCTGCTAAAATATGGCATCTTAGCCGAGTTATTTCAGAATCAGTCGGAAAAAAAAATCATCAGTTTGACAGTTAGTTGCTAAATTATTACATAAAGCACAAAGAGTAATTTGATCAATTGGAATGTTTTTTTTTTCTCTTCAATTTGGGGGTTCTAAATTAAAATTAAAATTCATTTTGACAAAAAATGTCAATATATATGCATTATTTCGTTGCCTTAAACTATTCTAATGCGCTCTACTGCAATATGTTAATTCTGCTCTGAGATTGAGCTCTGTTTTGCTTCGTAATTATTAGCTCTAAATTTGTGTAGAATATTGAAACCTATTTACAAAGATGTGTATAGTTTTCTGGTAGAAATTAGTTTTAAATAAAAAAAAATGGTCAATTGTCTCTTTTTTTTTGTCGGAACAACGTCAAGAGACATTTACTTGATAATGACTCCTAGAAGATAATTTCTCCGAAAAATGAAAAAATTTCTAGTAACTTCATAGGAGACCGTTCTGGATAGAGAATTTGTTTCATACAAACTTGAAAGTTATACAGGATTGTGTTAGTGAAGATTTTAGTTTTTTGGTTGGCCTGTTCTTTCTCTTATCGACGGCTCCACGATGTGACGGGAATGGGTTTAACACAGCTTGTAATTTTTCTTTTGTGTTTACGTTTCGAAACATCTGTTCCTTTTTAAGCGCCCTGTTCTAAAAAGATTAGCAAAAATTCAAAGAAAAAATCTACTTTCATCGATTTTTGGTTAAAGAAAAAAGTCAACCTTAATTGATTTTCGATTTTTAAGAAAATTACTTTCTGTACTTAAATCATGATGGTCAGAACACTCTGCGCTAATTGCCAAGCAAACGGCTTTCCTTGTTGTTCTGATCACTCAAAGTGGAAGAAATTTGTCTTCGCTAGTCTTCGACTTTTTGATTTTTTCTACATGCAGAATCAGGTATCACAAATAATAATCGGAATGGGATGAGTGAGCTATAATTTCAAAGTCTTTTTAGCCATGGTTTGAACAACAATAAAACAGTTTTCAGTATTGAGAAAAAACAATGAAATTTTAAATTTTTAGTGCAATTTTGAGCCAATTACGCGAGCAAACAGGCTTCCAATAAAATTACTCTTCAGTTTTTTAGTTCCTTTCTTCTGATTTTTCTGTCTTCTGATTGTTAGTTATGTTTACACTAGTACGCAGCGTAGTGGATTATTTACGCTTGCGATAAGCAAGCTTTATTAATTGGAATCTAGACTTTTTTCGGGTTAACAACTTAATTAACAAAACCACTTGAATCACTAGTCTTCATTCACGCGCACACGTGCAAATTTAAGTTCTACAGGTCTACTGATACTAATGACAGTTCTTTCAAAAAATAATGTCTTAAGTTTTTGAAGACAAAATATTCTGTTTCAAAAAAAAATTTTCGGACTATTGTTAGTCTGATTATGTTTTGTCAGCTTAGTTTGGTGGTTACATCACGAAATTTTCATGTTTTTTTAATGTTAACTGAAAAATATTTGATAGCTTGGCTTACATCAAAATCAAGCTTTATTAGCTTTTCAGGCACGCATGTTTATCCAGAAAAATATTCGCCTGAGATGGTAAAAAACATGTGTTTGAATTTTTTTGGTGAGTTTTAAGCTTCATAATTTGTCTGTCCATGTGCCAAAACAAGAACTGTTTTTGAAGTTTCGTTCACAAGAGCAGATCCTTTTACTGAATTTGAAAGACTTCAATGTCGTTTTTTCTGGAACGTAGGCAATATCACACGTTGGCAATGCCGAGGTATTTGACCTTCATGAAGCGGGTTGTTCAAATGCACCCCTTTTTACTGGTTCTGGCAGTATGCATGAGATGCTCTATTCTGCAAACACTTGCCATGGTGTCATGGTGATAAAATGATTAATCAGATACTGTTTCGGCGTAAAGGTAATGATCATCTGTTTTAGAGTAATGAGCTTAGTGAAGTGTTTTTTTTTCAGGAAATATTAAAACGCTTGAATAACAAGTTGGGCATTCATGAGAAAGAAAGAAAAAATAAATTTCTCCGTTCACTCATAACATAATTTTAGCAATTAATTGTTATAAGAAATTTTAAAAATGAGACTCGGAGAGGAAAGATAACGGGGCCATATGGCCCCCAAGCGCCTACCCTAGTAGCTATGTATGTTTCTTTCACTATCAGGAAAAGTAATTTTTGTAAATGTTTGTAGAATTTGTTTATTCGTAATTTCATCCATATATCCTAGGCTACGAGCTTCTGGACGGTCAAGTATCGTTATTCTAATCGAAATCCTACATTATACCTTCCTAAGCAGGCAACCGCCGGTAAGAAACAAAAAACTAAATTTAAAAATGTTTTGATTTTTTTTTTTGAATTATAAAATCGTCGATATCTCGTAAACTAGAGCTCCTGGAAGGTCAAGTTTTAGCGTTGGAACCTCAAACTTAAGATACACTCCCCGTTAGCATAAAACCACGGGTTCAATAACTTTTTTCTACTTATAGTTTGAAAATGTAATCGGTCAGATCTTCATTTCGCACTAAAAACACAGTTTTTAATGTATTATAAAATATTACTAATTCTGTTCTCGAATATCTTTCAATATCCTCGGATTCATTTTTTGCGCCCACAGAAGGCTGAAATTCTTGGTAGCGCGAAATCGAATGGAAAACTGATCGATTTTTTTCTTACATATGGGTTATGCTAACTGTTGGAGGAAACGCCGCTTCTTTATAAAGCTTTTATTCAACACTATCTGAAATCAACATTAACATATAACAAATATATAACATTCATCCCCGCCAAAAGAAAAGTCATTCATAACGCCATACAATTTCATCATCTTCGGGTTTTTCCTTTATCTCTGAGCTCCCAACAGTAGAGCCATAAAATTGAGTTTGTTTTCTATTCCGACAACTCGTTCTTCGGCCAACTTGCTCGCTTGGTACTCGCACATCGTTTTTTTGACTGTTGATTGTTTCATCGAATTCTCCGGTCGTTCCCGTGGGTTCAGACGTGTTTGTATCAGATACTTCATTCGGAGGGTTCGGCTCATTAATATCCATTTGTTCACCATCTACTTCCACCGGTTGATCTGAAGGTTCGGAGACTTGAGAACCAATAGCAGGCATACGTGACTCATCTTGTACCGGAGGAACACCCACTCCAGGGGCCAACGAAGAAGTAGTCACTGTATCAGTCCTTCCGTTAGGAAATCGTACTCTAGCATAAAAAGGGTTAATTACCTGTTCAATGTTAACTGGAGTCACTAATGGATCGTCCTTGTTGCGGACAAACTTTTTCAAATAAGCGTCGCGGCCTGATGATAACCAAGACGGAAATGAGAAACCAGCACTGCCACGTCTGTCAAAGCGAAATAAACGTGAATGAGGTGTTTCGTTGGTAGCTGAACATACTAACGTTCGGATGGATGCTAGGGCTTGAGGAAAGACATCTTCCCATTTTTCAAGTCCAAGTTGTTGTGAGTGTAAAATGCAGCGAATTGCCGTCCATATCGTACCGCTGAATTGTTCAGTTTGGCCATTTCCACTAGGATGGTACGGAGTTGTACAAGAATGAGAAATGCCGTTTTCATGACAGAACGAATTAAAATCACTGGACACGAATTGTCGCCCTCTGTCTGAATGGATAAATGCCGGAGTTCCGAGCAAAGAAAACAGATTGCGCAAACATGCAAGGACACTACTACTGCTGGTATCTTTAATGAGAAATGCGAAAGGAAAACGACTATACTTGTCAATGACAGTTATCATGTGCACAGCACCAGACTTGCTAGATGGAGTTTTTGGCCCAACAAGATCAATACCTAAACGTTCAAACGGCTTACTAGCTCGAACAACAGAACTTCTAACGCTTAGTTTATAGAACCGTGGCTTGCACTCTTTGCATGTTGAGCAGCTGTCAATACATTTCTTTACTTCTTCTAGAGAAAAGGCGAGTTTATGCCTCTGAATGTATTCCCAAAAACGGTTTATCCCTGGATGTGCTAACGATTTGTGAAGCGATGTGATCTGAGAATCCTGAGCAACAGCTATTCTTGAAAGTGCATCGGCTGAAAGGTTTTGAGAGCCAGGGCGGTAACTTATTTCATACCTATACTGAGATAGCTCCAAACGCCAACGGATCAACTTCTCGTTCTTGATACGAGACTTCTGACGGGAGAAAATGAAAGCAATGGCTTTTTGATCAGTGAGAACTGACGTTGGATAAGATCGTATAAACTGTTCCCATTTTTGGAAAGCTTCCACAACTGCCATCGCTTCAAGTTCGACTGCGGACTGCTTCTGTTCAGCGTTAGATAAAGTACGCGAAAAATACGCAATCGGCCTGTCATTCTGCGCAAATGATGCTCCTATAGCAGAACCAGAGGCATCCGTTTCTATTCTGATTGGAGTTCCATTGCTCTGAGGTATGACAAGCGAAGATTTGGCAATGTCGGCCTTCAATTGCTCAATTGCATCGAGAGCTTTTGGAGAAAGGGGAAAACTTTTGGCACTTTGTGCTTGCAATATCGGCAAGATTTTATTTGAATAATCGCTCACCCATTTTGCATTATAAGCGAAAAAAACCTAGAAGTCGGCGCAACTGAACTGCTGTGGTAGGAATAGGATAATTCATCAATGTTTGTAACCTTTGTGGATCAGGTCGCTTTGTCCCGTTCTCAAGTATCTGGCCTAACATACTGATCTTCGTTATACCAAACGAACACTTGTCTTTATTAAGAGTCATTCCAAGCTCCTTAGAAACGGCTAAAAATTTGTGCAGGTTTTTTTATCGTTGCCTCCCACTATCACATCGTCAAGATAGGCTTTCGTCTTTTATAACTTATGTTCACTAATTATAGAGTCCATGCACTTCTGGAAAACAGGTACTGCATTCGTTATTCCGAATGGTAAGCGACAAAACTGATAAAGTTTCCCATTGACTTCGAACGACGTTAAAGGTTTATCACTTTCCCTAATTTCAATTTGATGGTAAGCTGATTTCAAATCAATTTTGGAGAAAACCTTCCATTCAGCTGCTTCATCAATAATAGAATCAGGATTAGGGAAAGGATACGCGTCGACTTCTGTATACTTATTGATAGTTTCTGAGTAATCAATTACCATTCTGGGCTTGCGATTGTTGCCTTTAACAACGAAAGCCTGCGCACGCCATGGTGAATGCGACACTTCATTTATTCCTGACTCCAAGAGTCTTTCTACTTCCTTGTCCATAAAATCACGATCCGATCGTGATGAGAAACGTGACTTCGTTCGGACAGGCTCGGCTACCTTGAGTGTTCTTTCAGAGAAAAGAGTTGGTGGCTCTACTTGAAGCGCTGGAAACATGGCTGATAGCATGGATACGACTGACTGCGAACCTGAAGGTTTTGTGAAACTGATTGGCTGTCTGTGGCCGCCTGGTTTGAATTCGATAGTTGTATGTTCGCCTAAAACATCAGTCCCTATGATCATGTCAGCAACCAAACGATCAACTACCTTGAAAGTGACAGTATACTTGTGGCCTTGAATTTCAACAGGAACTGTCGAAAATCCCACACACTCCAAACTGGTTCGATTTGCCATCATAGTATTCGAGACCTGAGAAGACATCGGCAAGTTCAACTGCTCGATAACAGATGAGCATACGAAAGACCCAGTAGCACCAGTATCTATTAATGATTTAACTTTATGTTTACTCCGAACAAAAACTTCATCGAAGAAAGCAGTCTCGGACGACAAAGAACACAAAACAGCATTCACGCCTTTGTCTTTGTCACTTCTATTGTCATTTGGGCCCGTAGTTGATTTACAAGCTGCTGCCCAATGACCTGCTTTGCCACATTTATGACAAGAATCATTTCGGGCCGGGCAGTTTCTATGCAAGTGGTTGCCATTCAACCCACAGAACTGACAGCTAGACCCTCTACGCCCGGACGCAGTGCTTTGTTTATACTTTTGAGCAGGCTTGTTGCTGTTACGAACCGCATTGAGTACTTCGCTGTTTTCTTCCTCGACCTCTGCGTAGGCAAGTGATGGGGTCGCTTCGTTGTTGTCAGTTTTGAACTGACGTGAAAACTCGTTTGAAACTTCTTCTGCACATGCTACTGATATGCAGTGCTCCAACGTCGCCTCAGCATCTTTAAGCTCGAGCAAACGCACCCGGATCATATCTGATTCGACGCCAGAAACTAAAGCATCTCTGAGACGAGCATCTTGATGTTGTTTAGCAGTCATCTCCTTGCATTCGCACTTTTGAACTGCTACCTTCAAGCGTTTAACAAAATCGGTTACGCACTCACCGTGCTTCTGTCGACATGTCAGCAATTGATGCCTTTCGTACAGGACTCTTGTCGGTTTCTTAAACTGGCGATCAAGAATGGTCAAACCTTCATTTAGTGTAGTTGCTTCTTCTAGAAGAGAAAACAAATCTGAACCGGCCTGAGTACGTAGATGGATGAGTTGATGACCATCATCGGTAATGTCATTGATAGCCAGTCCATCGGTGAAGCACTTTCTCCACCATCGCCACTGCTCGGGTGTCGGGTTTGCTGGAAGCTCTGGTGACTTGAACTTCATTGTTGAATAAAATTGTTGGAGGAAACGCCGCTTCCTTATAAAGCTTTTATTCAACAATATCTGAAATCAACATTAACACATAACAAATATATAACACTAACAGTTTTGTTTTCGACAGTCTCGTGGCCCTTGTCTTCTTCTCAAACGAGAATATATTGTTTAAAAAATTTTGTAAGAGAAATTTTGCGACTGCACGAAGCACGAATTTGAGTAGTTCGTAATCATGAAAATCAAACACCGATAAGAATTCAATCTCTAGAAATATATCACGAGAACTCTCGCTACGCTATCGAAAATAGATGGATATAAGAATTTTCATGTGAACTAGAAATAAACATTCAAGCGAACTGTAGTTACAACAACCGTATCTGAGAATATCTTTTTGAGTGATAGGAACCACGCTACTTCTATATAAGTTTTCTGAGTCACTCTTTCACCGAATCAATATGACTTGAAACAATAATTTTGGGACAATATTTAAATCTAGATATTTACAAGCAGGTTTAATAATCACCTCTGAGAAAATTAGAGTGAACTTTAAATTGGAAACACTTTTTGTCTTCATTTGTTTTGTCGTATCTTTATTTATAAGTAGCTTATTTCCATGCAACCAATGGTCGAAATGACAAAGATCTTTTTTAATATCCATTATCTGGCAGCCTATAGCAGTTATTATAGTGTCATCTGCAAATAGGATTATTTCTGCTGTTTAACATGTCATGGATAAATCGTTAGTGTATATAAGGAACAGCAGCGGACTTAAAATCGATTCTTGTGGGACGCCGCTTTTTATTTTCTTCCAATCTGAAGAAACACCATTAATTTCAAGTCGTTGTTGACGATCTTTTTGATAGGAATTAAACCATTTTAAGCAATTGCCTCTAGTGCCACATTCATAAAGTTTCGTCAGAAGTTTTTCATGATCGAGAGTATCAAAAGCCTTTCTTAAATCAAGGAAAAATTTATAAGCTTCCTTAATAAGTCTTATCTATTCAGTAAGCTCTACAATTCTTTCTTTTATACTTTAGGCAGTCTGAGCAACTGGCGTGGTTTTATCTAAGTCTTTCGCTAAGAATGATTATTGGCTTTTCAAAATGCTCAATTTACTTTAAAAATACCCTTTAAGTTGGGAAACTAACAGTTAGTCATTTTTTTAAAAACGTTTTTAAGTTTGAAGTATCATGCTACCAGTCTCTCTTTTAAGCCTACGATTAACTCCGTTTCATCTTCATTATAATCGGTTTATTTTTCTGTTGTCGTAATCAATTTTCCGAAAAAAATCAAAATTGTAGGTTTTGAAATTGAAACGGGTCAACAACTTAATTAACAAAACCACTTGAATCACGAGACTTCTTTCACGTGCACACGTGCAAATTTAAGTACTGACATTTTTTGTCATTTAAATTTAAAAGTTCTGTCATTTTTCGAAGCAGTTTCATTTTTTCTGAAAAATTTCTAATTTTGAAATATCATGCTACTAGTCTCTCTTTTAAGCTCAAAATTAAATTCGTTTCATCTTCATTATAATCAGTTTCCTTATTTTTCTGTTGTTCTTATCAATGTTCCGAAAAAAATCAAAGATGTTGAAATTGAAACGATTCTCCATGAAAAGGTATTTTCAGGTAAATAAGTTTTATTAGAATTCCCAATAATTTTTGTCATTATTCCTCTTTCAGGTTTGTTTATCAACCTATCTATTTTGAACTATCCATCACTACATTCTTTAATTGCCGTTTCTATGGACCCATGTTCAAGAAGTCCCTATGTTATGTTGAAATGCTGATATATTGAAACGTTCCAGCTGTTCTGTGAATTCAAACTTTTTCAAAAAGTTGTTTACGACTGGTGGATTACCTTCTTTGTACGAAGAAACAGTTGATTGCAAATTTTGAAGATCATCAATGGTTTTTCCATATTATTGTTGAAGTGCTAACGTTTTAGTTATAAGTTTTTTCCTTTTTTCACTTAACTTGAAATAATCAATCCCTTGAATAGGTGCCATCATGGTTCTCTTAGGGGTTACAAAATTTGCTACTGAATATTCTCATTTTTTCCCTTAAAGAGATATAACTTTTTTTTTTGATTTTTTCAAAATTTTCGAAAATTTAAATGGCAAAAAAATACATAGCAAATTTTGAAATTTTCAACTTATTGGTGGGATAATTTCAGCTTTTTTTGCAGGGTTTGCAGCCAAATTTGACTGTTCAGTTTGTTTTTGTTTGCGAGATATGATAATTTAGTTTAATGATAAATTTGTTTCAAAAATCTTCAACTCGTGCGGTCAAGGTACGCTTCTTGTTTAGAATGCTGTTTAAAAAATTTATTCCCGATATTTAGCGTTTTTATGATTATTTTAGGAAGTTGCAATTAAAAAATTTTAAAAAAATACCGTGAAAAAGTCTGATTTTCATAAAGTAAACACTCAGGATTAAACTATTTATGTCACCAAAATGTTTATTGGGGATGTTATGATTAAGTAACTATTTGGACAAGAGTTAAAGTTAAGAAGTTAATGATAACAGGAAAAAGAATCATTCGTTGTACGTTTTTTTTTTTTTCAAATATCGAGAGTGCTTTTATATGATTCCGAGTGGAAAGTTCTAAAAAATTTTAGAATCAAATTTCACGTTGAGAAATCTGTTTGATTGAGCCCCGTTGGGTCGAGCCACGCAATTTTTTCCCTATTTTTCAATTTACCGAAGTAGGTCATGTTGTTTGCTATGCGAACACAGTAGATTTGGTACTGACTGTCAGTTTAGCTGTTTTTCTCGCAGTTTATGTGACCTACATCTGAGCCTTTCAGTGAAAAAGCTTCAAATTATTACTCTAATTATGTTTTGGGACGATCAAATCTGTGTGTTGTGATTATCGTTTTAATTTCAGATGAGTGCATTGAAACTTTACAATTTGCCTGATCATATTTTGCAAAGCGTATGCAGATTCGCCTTCGGGCACCGTGATACTCCTAAAATTGTCCCTTTTATGCGAACATGTAAGGCTTTATATGAGTTCGTTAAACGAACACCTTTGAAGGTTTCGTTTTCTATATCGACAGATGTCATTCGATTCGATGGAAGAGACACCATTGATTTGCCTCCGCTTATTGAAAATAACCCTCAATGGAAAATTTCAAAACTTAATGTCTTTTTCCCCAAATATATGCGGTTCCCCGCTCATTTGAATGTCGATGACTCGATTTATCCTCGCTGGATCTACAATGTACTGGAGAAGCTGGAAGACAAATTACAGGACCATTTAGAGTACGTCCGTCTGTGTTTAGATAATAAATCTAGCGTCCGGGAAGAATGGTATGTAGATGTTATGGCTGATGTAGCTGAAAAGCTGGCATCGTTCAATGACAATGTTATGTTTGAGATAAGCGATTATTGCGGTGGTTGGTCGGAGAAAGTATACGAAAAACTACCAAGAACAATTAACGTTATTAGCCTTGAACTTAACGCGATTTTTCAACGACCCAGTTCTTTGTGCTTAAAGTCGCTAAATTGGTTACAAACATTAGTTTTACCGCTTTTCTCGGGTCGCTTTTACATCGACGACGTAAATCATATGCATTATTTGTCTTTTTTAAAAGTTGATAGTCTGGATTTACCGACTGATGAGTTAATGTCCTTCTCCTTTCCAAAACTCAAAAGGTTAGAGCTGTTCGATCAAGAATTCGAATACGCGTCGGAAAAATTTGGCGCTATTATTTCCAGTTTGTTTCCCAGTCTTGAGTCCTTCTCGCTTTCGAACAACGGTTCTGCCCGGAATATTGGCTTGGATAATTTACCAAAGTGTTGTGTAAGTTTGACATTAGACTATGAAAGGCTGTCCACAATTTCTAAAGATCAATTTCAATATTTACATATCAGAGTATCTCTGGAAAATACCAGTTGTTTACCAGAGCAGATTAAAAACTACTCTCTGAAGGCTTTATCGTTCCTTGGAAGCCTTGAGCCGAAAAACATTTCGACGCACTTGGACCTCATCACGCGTGTTGTTACGATACAGCCGAGGTTACTTGTGCTGCAATTGGACGATAGAAGCTGTATTGATCGACATTTCAGGAAGCATGGCGACAAGATTATTGATGATATACTGTCTTGGCGTGAAAACAACGAGCAGCTACTCGATTCCAGTGACATCATGCTAATTAGCTATGGACGAGAAGTTATTTATATGAAAAGTTCACTAGATTTTCGGTTTGTACAGCTGATGAAGTATTTAGATGAAGACCGAAATTGGGTTTTTAGGGAGGATCCCACAAATTTGATATTAGATGAACAAGAGATCCATGTAAGGTACTCAAAGCTCAAATCTGCGGAAAGATTGAAAAGAAAACGAGCTATTTCAAATAGCTAATTAATGCTGAACGAAAGCTTGTGAGTTAGGACCGAGTTGGTTAACTCATAGAGTAATTTCGGATAGGGTACACCGTCTGCTCGTCACGCTATCTTATTTTCGGCCGGATAGATTCGTGCAACTTCTTAGTCTAATACCGATCCTAATCTTACTCTTATACTATCTAGTCTCAGGTTGTTTAACTAGTCTCTGCTAGGCTCAATAGATCTAGGGTATACTGGTTTATTGCGGTTGCTGAAGTGCTCGGGAGAGTCCAACTAATTTCTAAGTTAAATTCAAATCTCTCTGGTGCTGAAATTACAAGTAACTTCAGCACTTACAAATAAGTGGGTTGTTAGTTAGATGGATCATGATTGGTTAATATTAAATACTTTACATTGGTAAAACATTTAATTTATCCAATCATAAAATATAGTTTAGATCAGGTTCCACTTGTGTGAAAGCTTATCTGTTAAATTTTTTTTAAAAGCATGGTAACAATTGATTATTGAATGTTTTTCATTTTTACCACTCCCTAAGATTTTTGATATTCGCTTCTCTAGAAAATGCAAGTTACCGCCTCAGTCTTAAAAAAAATTTACAGATAGACTCACTATACGGTGAAAATTTGTCTGCTCAATTTTATATTTGAATTTGCG